CTGGAAGATGCCAGTCAGCAGATGAGCCGCGCGCGTCGTTCTGATAAGAGGAGGCAAACAGCGCAGTGCCACTATAGCTTGTCAGAAAATATTCCACTGAATTCATTCCGACAGTATGAGCTCACAGTCTCATATTGGAACATCGCATCACCCAGTGGGAAATAGAAGGAGCTGCTTGATGACGCCTGTGAGCGAAGCGCCAGCGCTCTAAAATTCTGAAACCCGGAAAGGAACCGAATTTACTCAAGTGCCGACATCACGACATGCGCTCAGGTCAGTGTTCGTATTCTGTTAGAACCGATCTGGCTGACAGAATCAATGAATGGAAACCAATCAGCGGAGGAGTAGCAATCATCCGACAGGCTAAACCTTGTTACGGCACAAGTCTGTGTGTCCAATGGAGGAAGGAGTTACTCAGAGTAAGAATATGGGTCCTTCATTTAGGACGTAGAAGGTGTTCTGTATGAAGTACTGACTACTCCTTCATCGTTGTAATGGATGATTTCAGTGCGAATGTAGTGGCAGTGACCGCCCAAGCGACCTCATTAATAACAGTGAAGCTGCAATTTTCTGCAAACATCAAAAAATGCATCAATATACGTGGCATAGGGAACCTTGTGCACATGAGTCCATCACCGATTGGATAATCATATCGTCTGTCTTACGACGACCTCAAAAATGTTCGAGTTAGGAGAGGCGCACAGCTGTCAATTGATGATCAGTTTATTGTCGGGACCCTCTGTTGAAAATGATGGAGTACCAGGCGGGAACTGGTAGCTGAAACAGTCAGAAAATCAAATAGGGAACATTACGCTCTGCAGATATGAGGGTAAAGCTTCAAAGAGTATCACCGCAGTTTGAATATATTACACTGATGTCGACTGACGTGGAAGATGAATGGAAGCTGTTTCAAAACTGGTTACTTAGAGCTGCCGTAGGCTGAAGTACATCTTCGCCTGCGATTTGATGGTCAGAAACGAACTTTCTGGTGGACACCATGTGTTCAGTTCTATGTTTGCCACAGGAAGACAGGTCATAAATTATGGGTTGGAAGAAAGCAGGCTTCAACTTAAACGTTGCACGAGGAAGCTACCAGAGTGACAGCAAAAGCAGCGGCCAAAGCAATAGCTTGTTACAGGGAAAAGTTCCTTTAAGTGCTGGAATCCAATTTTCAGGCAGCAAACAGATCATCCTGGCAAACTATCCGCAGCCTGGATAATGAAAAGAAGAATTGTTTGAGAGTCGTGTATGGCAAGTCCGGACGCCCTTGACTTTGAAGATGATTTGCTTTGAAGATTATGGCAATAGTTTGACGAACACCTTAACCCCCAGCAGGAAAGGGATTTTGGTTTTTCGGTAATCGATGTCATGCAAGCAATAGAAAGACAGAAATGGCAAGGCTGCTGGAAGCGATTAACTCCGCCCTGAGATACGTAGAGCTTGAGGCGAATAAGTCATGTTCTGGCCTACATGTGTCTGTCAAAGCACAATGGTTGCGGGGCAGGCACTGTGGGAAAGGGGATTGTAGCAATCTTGTTAAAAAAAAACTTGGCCATACGTAATGCTCCAATCACAGGGGCATTGACTTGTTTAGCCTGCCGATAAATGTCCACCCAAGGGTGTTAGGACATGCCGCGAAAGATCCAAGAAAGGAAGCATGGCTTCAGGTCAGGCCGAAGCGGCTTGACCAGATCTTCGGCTTTCGCCGGAAGTAGGAGCTGTTGAGAAATCGTGGGAGTTCGTGCATTCAGTTTGCATGCACTTTCTAGACTTAGAGATATACTATGAGCTGTTGCGTAGCAAGCTCTGGGAGTGTCTGCATATTGTACAAAATCTGCCAGTTGCTGCGAGCCATCCGATTATCACATCTGCGTTCAAGTAAATGGCGTTAAATCAGCTTTTCAAGGTCAGTACTGGAATCCGTCAAGGCGGTGTTTTCCCTCCTTCCGTCCGTGCAGTATACGATATTAATGGTTAATAATAGGATGTCGAGACACAGCAATGGTGGACAATATGTAAGAGTAAGAGATGTAGAGAAGAGGAGGTAGTCTGTTGCGGAAGAATTTATTTTATTGTCATCCTCTGAAACTGATCTCCAAAGGCTTGCAGCGCTGTACGATCTGGCGGCCATGCATTATACGTGTCTTAAGCCGAATGCATAGTGCTTTGTTCTCTTCCTCCCTCTGCACTCTGCAGATAAAGGGCGAAACAATGGAACAGGTGATGAAATTCACCTTTTCGTGGTCATGTTTATTGTCCATAGAAAATTTGAAGAAGAAATTGATCGGTGAATTAAAACGAATTACCTGTACCTTGGCTATCGATGTACAGCGGAGTCAGCAGACTTAAGCTGTCTGCGATCAACTCGACTTTCATCCCGAATTTTACCTATGATCATGTGTCATTGGCCGTGGCTTTAAAGCTTCTATTCCGAATAAAAACAGCTGAAACAACCTTCCTGCAGCGAATTGCTTCGCTCCTCCTCCTGACATGGTGTCATGTTCAGATATTCGAGAAAACTTCGATGTTCTGCCTCTGCAGACGGAAAAATCACAGCGCGAAGGCGGCTTGGTTCTTATGCTTCCAGAAAGGAAGGAGAAGCAGGTATTACTGGAACAACAGATTGGCCGAAGTCCCGGATGCGACCAAGAATAAACTGAAGCAAGTGAATCGAAGGTGTCTCCTCCAGGGTTTTGTCCAAGCTAAAACGGTGACAGGACTACGAAAGTTGTAGACACCGTCTGTTGCGTTGAAACGATAAGCGGTATTTGAAACTGACTGTCTAAGTCATGAAAGTTATAAATAAGGCTGATTTTTGATTTAGTAAGTTCTCAATATTAAAAGTAGAAAATATGATCGATAATTTTTATTCATAAAATTATGGAACCATTTTGCTTGAAGCTGCATGAAAAATATTAATGAGAATGACCAATTGATGGTAACCAAACTTTCTAATGAATCTTTTTCTTCGCTTTTGTTATATGAATAATATCAAAGCGAAATGGTGAAACAGTCTGTAGCATTGGCCATTGTATATAAATGAACTTTTTTGAAAGAGTAGATAAATAATAATAAAACTCGTAGCATAACCTCGTCCAGAATCATACCGATTCCTAAATTAATCTTATAAATAAGCTTAAGATATGGCCTGAGATTAAGTTTCTGAGTTTTCTTAAGTTCATTTTTATTGCAATTATTGGCTTAATATAAGGCTGTTGCTAGAGAATATGATAAGCTGTAAGTTT